AGTAAATAAATAAAATCTTTAAACACAAACAAAAAGGCATCCTCATGCACTACCCGTGGGATTGCAAAATGGAAAAAGCAATGCAGAGGGGACTCTGAGACTGTCTACCAAAGATACATAATGACCTGGTGATAAATAATAAGTTCTAGGAATTTATCCCAAAGGGACACTGTCAGATCCTTCAGTGCTGTCCGTGACACCCACCCCTTGCTGCGTTCTTCAAACTGCTGTGCATCGAAGGAAAAACCACTGTCCATCGGCAGGACACTGGCTGCATAAGCCAGCGGAGGCCACGCATGGAGCATGGTGCTGCTGGGATAAAGGAGGGGAGGTCAGGGGACACTGCAGAGTGATGGCCAGGACAGGCTGCTGAGCGACAAATGCCAGGTGCAGTCCAGTGCGCATCCACGCCACCCTTTGTGTAAGGAAGGGGAAGAATACACCCATGTTTTTGGTTATATTTTTAAAAATGGAAAGATAAACCAGAACTTAATAAAGCTAATACCACCAGGCGAATAAGGAAATGGCGGGGGTCTGGGGTTGTGGTGGCAGGGGGGCACTGGGCTGCAAGCCAGACCTCGGGGAAGGGGCCTGGTGGGGGGCTGCAGGGGGTGGGTTTCAGAACACAGGCTCCCCGGGGAGGTAGGCGGGAGTGCAGGGCAGCCAATCACATTCCTGGCAGCTGTGGCCGGAGCTCACTGGAGCTGACCTGTACTGGCTTGAACAGTAAATATTCAAGAATTTTGCAAGTTGGTTGTTAAACCACAGGTCACTTTACACCAGGGGCAGTCGGGGTGCCGCTGTCGGAGGGCTGGCTCAGACCCAGGAACTGGGTGAGGGATGGGGCTCTCTGTGGGGGGGAGGCGGATTATCCTCCCCTTTCAATCACCCAGGCTTGATTTCTGACTTTGTTTCTTGCAGATTTTGAAGAGTATGTGAGTGATGGGCTAAGCTTCTAAAAAAAACTGTCACGATTTGTGGCATTTGCCAATTTCATTGGTGTGGATTGAGAAACTCCAAAAGGAAAGACCCTGCAATCGAGACCAACGCACGCAGGAGAGCTTCTCCCAGTCCCTGCCCTTCCAGAACTCACACATACAACATCACCAGAAAGGGGAGTTCCCTAGCATTTCAGGGGCCGTTGAACGTAGGGTCCAAGCTGAGGTGGATGCTGGAGTCCTGAGACCTCTTCACGGGCTCCCTGTCAAAATACGGTGCAGGGAGGGTGGGCAGTGAGCAGAGTTCCAGGTGCATCCAACTCTGAGTGACCACGAGGCCCACAGACAGACCCAGTGGCCATTCCTGGGTCCTCGGGTGTACAGTTAAAGTGGACATCCTTGGTGGTTGATTCAACTCCTAACATTCATTACTAGGCATTGGAGAAGGAGCCGTCATATTGAGGGAGGCGGAGTAGAAGCTTGGAAACTGCTCTCCCAACCCCACCCTCCCCCCACCCAACCCAAGTCAAGACAGGGATTCAAAAACAGCACTGCAACCTGTGGGCAATGGCAGGAGTCGGGGCCACCTTAATGGCATAAAGGATGTGTGTGTACGTGGGGCAGGGGGCACATTCTCACATCTGCAGTCTGGCGCCGGTGAACCCGGACAGACCCTGGAGGGTGACTGGACAGCAGACTCAGCCAAGTGGTGGCCTGCATTCCCTCGGGACCCGGTGAGCCACCGGTGATTTGGCGAATGCGTGCTTTTCCGTCCCGTTGTGGAAGAGGCTCCTGAGGAGCTTGTATTCCTATCGACGAGAGGGTCTGCATTCACGGTTTTGCCCCATCCTCAGACACCGCGCACTCGAAACAGATCGGAACCTCCAGGACATCTCGTAGGACGTCACGCTGGTCCATTGCATCAACGACACCATGCTGCTGGGCCCTCATGAGCCAGGAGCGGCTACTACGTTGGAGGCCTTGGTGAGGCGTGTGCTCCAGAAGGTTGGAGATAAACTACAGAAATTCACAGGCCTGCCGCAGGAGTACAATTTTAAAAACTAGTCTGGGACTCACTGCTACATTCTCTCCAAAGTGAAGGACAAATTACTGTGTCTTGTGGGAAACGCCAGAAAGAGGGAGGCACGGTGTGTGGTGCGCATCCTTGTATTCCGAGAATAACACGGACTCTACGTCTCGGAGCAGATCTGGGCCCATACACGAGGGGACAGGAAGACAGCCCAGAGTAAGAAGGGAATCCGCAGCAGGCTCGGGCTCCAGAGCCACTTGTCCCTAGTGGGGCCGGCAGGTCGTGTCCTGTCGGAAGGGTCAGTGGAGGGAAAAGTGCCGTGTGCGACTTGAGGCAGCCCCAGTGGAAGGGTCCCTGCTCAGGACCCTGAGACTCTGACACAATCAAACCAGCAGCATAGTAAAAGGTTGTACAGCAGGGCCGGGTGGAATTCATCCCACCAATGCAAGAGTGAAAACTCTGAGAAGCAATCGGTATCATGCACCGTGTTAACAGAGTAGAGGGGGAAAAGCCGCACGATCACGCAACTGATGCAGGAAAAGCCTCTGACAAGTCAACGCTCTCTCCTGACGAAAACACTCGACAAACTAGGATGAGAAGGGAACTCTCTCAACCCAACAGAGGGCGTGACGAAAAACCCACGGCCAGCACCGTCTGTGCCCAGTGGTGAAAGGCTGAAAGCTTTCCCACCAGGATCAGGCACAAGACAAGGATGGCTACTTTCCCCACTTCCGTTAAACGCTGCATTAGAAGCCCTAGCCTGATAAGTTAGGCAAGAGAAGGAAAGAAAGGCATCCAATTAGAAAGAAAGAAGTGGAACTAACCACAAAGCTACGGTGAGCAAAACAATGGAACACTCATAGAGACAGACACACAGACCAAGGGAATGAAACAGAGAGGCTAGAAAACCACTTAGACGTCTGTGGTCAATTGATTTTCAACAAGGGCACCAACATCATTTGGGGGAAGAAAGAACGTCTCTTGAACAGATGGTGCCGGTAAAACCCTGAGAAGAAAACAGGGGTCAATTGGACAACGGTTTCTAGATATGACATCAAAAGCACAATCAGCAAAATATAGATACATTGGACTTCACAAATATTAAAATTTTTATGTAGCAAAGGACACCACCAAGAGAGTGAAAACACAACCCACAGAATGGGAGAAAGTATTTGCGAATTATATAGTGTTCAGAATACATAAAGAACACGTATAACTCGACAACGAAAAGACAACTCGATTAAAAATGGGCTAAGCGTTTTTGATAGACATTTATTCGAAGAAGATATACAAATGGCCAACAAGCACATGAAAGGAAGCCCAGTATCATTGGTTATTAGGGAAATTCACATCGAAACCTCAAGGAGACGCCCCCTCCTCCCCACTAGGGCAGCTGTAATGATGCCAATCAAATACCACGTCCACGAGCACGTGGACACATTGGAACCCGGGTACATCGATGTTGGTAAAACGATGCAGCCGCTGCAGAACAGTCTGGCAGGTCCTCAAAAGTTAAAACACAGAGTCAACCACACAGCCCAGCGACTCCACTCCTGGGTGTACATCCAAGAGAATTGAAAAGAGGCATGCAAACAGAAGTCTGTACAAAAACGTTCATAGTATAAGTATTCGAATTAGTCAAAAGGTGGAAACAATTCAAACCTCCAACAACCGAGAATCAGTGGATAAACAAAACATGGCCCACCCACACCGCGGAACACCGGTCACCCACACCCAAGGGCGGGGCGCAGACACGTGCCGCGGTGGGATGACCTTGAACCTCCGTGATGAACGACATGAGCCGGAGACGAAAGGCCACATGCTGTGTGGGCTTTTATGTGAAATGTGCAGACGGGCAAACCCATAGGGACAGAAAGCAGAGCAGCGACTCACAGGCACAGGAGGGACTGCTGAACAGCACAGGATTTCCTTCGTGGTGGGGGGAAGGTTCTGGAACTGGAGCGTGGTCACGGCTGCACAACAGTGTGACTGTACTAAATGCCCCGGAATTACACACTTTAAAATGGCGGAAATGGTGCGTTTTATATCATGTGTTATCACCCACACGGTCGAAACACCCCTGCTGCCGGCGGCTGAGGGTGAGGCCACCCCACTCGTCGGCCCTGGGCGTGATTCGTGTTGTGAGTCTCGGTTGATCTTACAGGTGGGACATCTGTGTTTTAATTTGAGAAACTTTAATTATTAATGAGATCCAATAGCTTTGCCTATGGCTATTGATCACTTCAGTGATTTGAATTTTGTATTTGATTCTTTTGTATTATGCTCTGTTTTAGTTCTAAGGACTTTTTAATGTTCATACTAAACTTTCATCTATCGTGCATATTGCAAGTATTTCCTGGCAGTCCAAGATCTTCCTTTTGTACACTAGAAAAATTCCCTTTGGGCTGTACTTGAAATGACGTGGGGAGAGTAGGGGACTACACAGCCCTGAGTTTTTCACCCGTGACCAACTCAGGTCCTTAGCAGGACTGTGTTGTATGTGGTTTTTGGTCGTGTTACTATTCCGTTCACGTCTGACCCCCTTACCCATCCTCTCGGGTGCTTTACGGCTCGCGCTGTGACAGCGCTGGGCGGCTCCCCCACAGGACCCTCCCTCGGGCACGGCTGGTGTGGTGGGGGCACTCGGTGGCTGTGAATTCATCTCACACTCTGTCCCTTCGTGAAAGGGACGTTAGAACGCGCAGCAGTCACTCAGCAAACACTTGCCTCATGGTTTTCACAAGCTTTCTGAAGCCAAAAAAAGAACATACAGGAAAACAGAGCCCTGCAATGTACTCACAAGGTTAATGAGTAAAAACTAATTATAGAAAATAAACCAGCACTAATGAGGGGTCTCTAGCAACCAGTCTAAACAACAACAAGGAAGGGAGGGTCTGGGGGCCTCCTGCTGGGGCAACACTCACACACATCAGGAGGGTATAAAAGGTGGACAGTCCCAGCACCTTACACACTCACTCACCTTCACACACTCACACCTCCTCCCAGCTCACCTCCAGCTCCACCGCCCCACCATGGCCGCCTCCACCCTGTCCGTCTGCTCCAGCGACCTGAGCTACAGCAGCCGCGTCTGCCTGCCTGGTTCCAGTGACTCTTGCACCGACTCCTCCTGGCAGGTGGACGACTGTCCAGAGAGCTGCTGTGAGCCCTCCTGCTGTGCCCCCAGCTGCTGCCAGCCCTCCTGCTGTGCTCCCAGCTGCTGCGAATCTACCTGTTGTGTCCCCAGCTGCTGCCAGTCCACCTGCTGTGTCCCCAGCTGCTGCCAGCCCTCCTGCTGTGCCCCCAGCTGCTGCCAGTCCACCTGCTGTGTCCCCAGCTGCTGCCAGCCCTCCTGTTGTGTCCCCAGCTGTTGTCAGTCCACCTGCTGCACACCCATCTGCTGCAAGCCCATCTGCTGCACACCTGTCTGTTGCACACCTGTCTGCTGCAAGCCTGTCTGCTGCACACCTGTCTGCTGCAAGCCTGTCTGCTGCACCCCCTGCCCCTCATCCTGCTGCAAACCCTCCTCCTCTGTGTCTGTCATCTGCCGCCCCGTGTGCAGACCCGCCTGCTGCGTGCCTGTCTCCTCCTGCTGTGCCCCCTCCTCCTCCTGCTGCCGGCCCAGCTGCTGCCGCCCGGCCTCCTGCGTGTCTCTCATCTGCCGCCCCGTGTGCAGACCTGCCTGCTGTGTCCCTGCCCCGGCGGCCCAGCCATCCTGTTGCTGACCAGCTTGGTCTCAAGCTGCTGCCCTCGCTCCTGAGCACAGCTCTCCCCTCCCATGAGACCCTGGGGCCCCTTGGCTGGTGCCAGGACCTCCCCTCTCCCATCAGGGGGCACACAGGTTCTGCTTAATGCAAATTCAAACATGCCACCCATCTCTTTTTGACAAAAGATGACCACAAATCTCTCACCAGGAGTGGAGTGCAGGCTTCCCCGACCCTCCTCTGCAGGACCAATTGCTTGCTCTCTATGTGACAAAGGCCAATTGGTATAATCAATAAAATGCTTGTGCCAGAAAATATGTGTTTGGTTTCCCTCCCTCTCCTGAGCTTCCGAGACTCCAAATCTGGGCTGTAGGTGTTCCGCCTGGTAGAAGTCACACAATAGAGCCATGTTCTCAAATCCAAGTTCAGAGCAGCTGAGCAACAAGCTCTGGGAGTGATGCCATCTGCCTGCATGTTTCCCTTCCCGACCCCAGCAGCCTGCCCTCCCCTCAGTGGACAGCCCTCCCGGGCTGGGTCCAGGAGGTGGGTGTGGGTGCTGGAGGCAGAGACCCGAGTGCACTTGGGGTCCTGCCCACACCTACCCCCTGCCCATCCAGGTTCACGGTGAGCTGCAGAGCAGCAGAAACCTTGCTGGCCAGGAACGGACAGAGCAGCACCTGGCGCAGTGCTCACTTCCTGGGAGAGAGGTGTGCTTACTTGCTGGCCCAGGCACGGGGGCCGACGCCCTGAGCATCGAGGAGACCCCGTGGGCCCCAAGAGGAGTGCGAAGCTCGTTGAAGACATCACTCATTCTGTTTGGGTCTCAAGGCCTGCTTGAGGGGGCACAGAGCAAAAAGACACCTGTGAACACACCCTCAGGACTGTGGGGGAGGATGAGCCTGCAGTCTCAGTGGACCTAGTCAGGACACCGGTTAGACTGATGCAGCAGCACCAGGTGCCCTACTTATCCCTCAACCCAGGGTGTCACACTCATTGTCACCGGGGGCCACATCAGCCTCGAAGTTGCCTTCAAAGGGCCCAATGTAAGCTTAGGGCTGTACAAATGCAACCACCCCTTAACAGTTAAGCAAGAGCTCGGTGCTGCCGCCGGGTAGAAACCAAGTGCCGGGCCAGATAAAACAAGGTGGAGGGCTGGATTCAGCCCGTGGACCTTGTGTTTGCCACCTGTTCCTTAACCCCTCATCAGGAACAGACCAAGGAGGACCACAAGAGCAGGGGAACAGCACAGGCCAGGCGGACATCCCAGTCACTCATTTATTCACCCTGGGCAGGCTCACGAGGCCAGCACGTCTCCGCCGCCAGCACACAGCGTGCACCCCTTGTTGCATAAACAAGCCAACTTCTGTGTGGATTCTGGGCGACCGCTCTGTGAAGGGCAGACAGTGAGCATTTCAGGTTTCGCTGTCGCACAGTCTCTCCCGTGAGTGCTCAGCAGGCTTGTGCAAAAGCAGCCCTAGACGGCCACAGGGACACAGACGGGGCTGCAGCCAGTGGAACTTTTATTAACAAACAGGCTGCAGGCCAGACTCACACCGCAGGCGGCAGTTTGCAGACTCCTGTTGTAGTGTTTCCCGTGCCTGGCTGGTGTGGCCCAGTGGATTGAGCACTGGCCCTTGAACCAAGGGGTTGCCGGTCTGATTCCCGGTCAGGGCATATGCCTGGGTTGCAGGGTGTGCAAAAAGCAACAGCACATTGATGTTTCTCGCCCTCTCTTTCTCTCTCCCTTCTCCTCTGTCTAAAAATAAATAAGATCTTTAAGAATTAAAGTTCAAACTACGTTATTGCCTCAAGTCTTCCCTGTTGGTATGAGACAAAACTGACTAGAAGGACACAGCACTCGGCTCTGAGCCAGGGGGCCCGGTGCATGGCAATGGCCTGGGGAAACCACGTGGGGTCACGGAAACCATGCGGGGCCACGTCGTCAAACCAGATCACCCTGTTTACAGAGGAACGGGGAACCGGGCCTCCAAGCCAAGCGTACTCACGGGGAGCCCAACACAGAACAGTGCGTCCCAGGAAACAGGATGCTGGGGAGACATGTGCAAACAGCCATGGGGGACGCACAGTCCGGCGGGGACGGCCACAGCTCGAGTATAAAGGCCGCCAGGGAAGGAGCCTGTGGTCACCACCGCCCTCCACGCCACACCAGCCAGCCCCTCGACGACATGTGCCACACCAGCTGCTCCACAGGCTGCCAGGCTGGCTGCTGCTCGCCCAGCCCCTGCCAGTCCTCCGTGTGCCTGCCCACGGGCTGCAGGCCAGCTGTGTACATGCCGGTGAGCTGCCAGACCACCTGCTGTGTGCCCGTGAGCTTCAGGCCCATCGTGTGCACGGCCCCCTCCTGCCAGTCCTCTGTGTGCCTGCCCGTGGGCTGCAGGCCTGCTGTGTGTGCATCTGTGTGTAGAATTGGAGACCTATAGAGGTTACCAGAACACCAAAAAAAGTATTCTGAAATTGATAAAAAGGACAGAATGAATCATGTATCCAGTCTTTCTTATAAAAACAGCGTTTTAGGTAACCAAATATGCATGATAGTTATCTTCTGTAGAAAAGCTTAACCAAAAAATGTAGAAGGAGCAGTGGACTTCAGCAATCACCATTCTGCAGGCCCAGTGGCATTGTGGGTCTAAGCCATGGTTGTACAGGGCTGCTCCACCCGAGGCCGAAAGGCTTGGGGGCACAGGCAGACATCGCCAGACCCAGGGACCAACCTCCACCCCCCAAACTGCGGCGGCCAGACGTCACTGGGTTCTTGATGTGCTGCCCTGGGCACTGCAAAGTAGTCTTGTCAAAGAGTTGGGCCTACATCTCAGCCGACTGCCAGTCTTCTCCCATTTTATAGGAAATGTAGGAGCTGGAGGGACGTTTTAAATAATACCTTAAAGACACAAACAATCTAATCCTGTGAGCAGGAAACTCCTTAGGACAAATAATTAGACTTCCTCAACCGAGAAATGCCGTAAGAACAGCAGTCAGCCAGAAGCATCGCCCACAAACTGGGTGCCGGCCAAGTTTGGGCTCCATCCAATGTGCACAGATCAACAATTTATCTTTTTAAAAACAATCAGAATACATTAAATAGATTAGACTGACACTGCTCAGAGCTTAATGGTTCCAACTGGTACAAATGCTCACAGTACGTACACCCCGTAAGTATGATGGACACACGTGCCTACCCACACGGGGGGGGGGATATAATAAACTGATGTTTAGTTCGCCCCTTTTGGTAAAATGTCAAGGACTTCGTCCCATGTCCACACACATAGATCTATCTACACTATTCTTCTTCTTTTTTAAAATCCTCACCCAAGGATACATTTATTGCTTTTAGAGAGAGAGGAAGGGAGGGAGAGAGAGAGAGAGAGAGAGAGAGATCAAACTGGGGAGCAAACCCATGCATTTTGGTGTGCTGGACAACGCTCCAACCAATTGAGCCACCCAGCCAGGGCTCTATCCTGTTCTTTCTAATGCCTATGTAATACTTTATTATATAGATATGCCAAAATAACATTATTCCTCTATTAATGGTGTCCATCTTGCCTCCTTTCCTGTTGCTATCACGCTGTGATCACAAACACCTTTTACATCGATCTTGGTGCAACCATTTCTGTTAAGTGATTACCAGGAGAAAATATCCTTTTTTTTTTTTTTTAAGGAAAAGGAAGCACGTTCAGGAAGGCCGACTGCTGAAGGCTGCAGTCAGTGCTTCGCCGAGCCGCCATTCAGAAGCTGGTCATGTCTCCCATCTCCGGCACTGCCCCCAGTGCGGGGGACTCTTCAGTGGTGCGGTGAACTTACTGTAAAAGCCTGGGGAGGGGACTGCAGAGGGTCCCACCCAGCAGCCCGCCGCTGCAGGCATCTGAAACCTACAGTCACTGACTCGGGATCATGAGCCCCTCTGTGATTGAGCGACATCTCTCAGATTGGCGTCCAGAAAGCTGATGGAGCCATAAGCCCCGCCCCCCGCCAACACACACAGTCCGCGGTGCGGTGATGAGGCGATGGCGGGTGATGAGGCAGCAGAATTCCTCCGGGAATCACTCCTGGTAACACACACCAGCCACACCCAGGGGCTTGGAGGCCCATTCCATTGAACCGAGGACTCGGGAGGAGAGAGGACGACAATGCCTCTTGAGTGGGTGGCCCCGAGAGAGGCTCCCCTGTCTTGTCTCCTTCCAGGGGACAGTGGGGCTGACCTGGAACACGAAAGCTTCTTTTCTGCTATCTCCCCCAACCCGTTTTGTCCATCTCTGCGAAGGAGGCGTTGCCTAGCAACTGAAGAAGGGCAATGACGTCCTCGGACTATTCTGTTCCACTCCTGCGATACTTAACTCTGGTTGATTATTAGCTCAGCCTGGAGAGGTGACAATTTACCTTAAAGAAAAACGACTTCTGTGCAGTCACCAAGGGGCAGAAGGGGACCTGGAGCTTGGCTTTGGGAAAGGGTCTGATCTATACTAGATTTTCAGTTCTCAGAAAAACAAAAAACACAAAAAAAACCCTTTCTTCCTAAACCAACAAGATTCCTTGAGCAAGTGGACAATAGGTGTTAAGAACAGTCTTTGAAATATGAGCCCTGCCATTTACTTTCTAATCTGCAAAGCTGCCCTGCAAATGTGGGGTTGGCTGGCCTGCCTCCCTGCGCTTTCACGGCCTTTATACTTTGTCAATAAATCAGGCAGCTGCAAAGTAATATGGTGTCCGTAACTGCCATGTAGCACTCGGGGCCCACCCTGTCTGTGTCTACAAGAACGTGTTAATAATTTACATTTTAACACTGAGCTCCTGTGCACACAGCGGCAGAAAGACTTTTCAAAGAGCCGTTTCTGCGGGCTGGAAGTAACCCTAGATCAGCTTGGGTAGCTTGGGAACTTTAAGGTATGCCCTGGGGGACGCTGGTTTGGCCGCTCTCCTCCTAGAGCAAACGGGTTCCACGGCACCTCTCCACTCGTGCACACAAAGAACAGAGACTGCATCGCTCGTGGCTCCGGCCCAGTGGG